TTGAGTTAAGTCGCGAAATAATATTCTATATAATATTCGACAACACACGTAAATAACGGTCGAGACAGAGAGATTCTCACAGCATTTCTCACAACACGAGAATCAAGGCAACAAGCGCGACCGAAATGTCGCAGAACGGCAACAGAGAGAAAAAAAAAAGTACACTCGGCGCAAAACAATAATACGCGAAACGACCTATACACGTCGAGAATATTCTCGAAGATAATTCTTATATGTACCACTCACCGAAATTCCAGGGCGCTTCCCTTCAATTGGACTCACAAAATTTTCAATCCTTATTTACGGTCTCAATCTCCGTCCTCAATTTTATTTCAAATTCATAAACAAATAATATATGCTGCTGCAAGAAAGAAATCAGCTAATAAGAAATGTGCAAAAAGAATAACCAGTAGCGGGATTCTCTAACTTCCTATCGACGATTGTCGCTATCGTTAATTATCAATTTTTATCGCTTGCACTATCGACCATATCGATACGGCGTGATTCTGTAACTTTACCTTAACGATATTTATCGATGCAAAATCGTTACAGACGTATCGATAAAATTCGGTAGCGATTTGGTAAATTTGACAACGTCGCAATTTTTTTTCTAGTAAAAATCTAGTAATTTTCAGTAGAATTTACGAACACGGATGTAAATGGAGATAAAGTGTGATATCTATAGGGGAGAGGCACCATATACGACCCACCTTTCTTCTTTCGAGCATAAGTTTTTATGAGATTAATTTTTTTTATGCTTTAGGCACCGATAGAAAGCTAAGGGTAGTAGGGCAACTAATTATTAACAAACTTAGTCGATCTGAGCAATCTGACAATATTTTATGAACAATTTTAAAAAGGTTGACTTTTGAATAAAAAAAAATTTTGGCACCATATGCGACCCACTTCGAAAAATCAACGATTAATGGAAAAATACGCAGCAGACACCTAATAATTTTCAAAATATCAAAATTTATTTCATTTATTGGTTAATTATATAAATAAATATATAAATAAACAGATTATAAACTCTTATATAACAGATTATAAACTATTATAAACTTTTTGAGACTTTTTAACCTTCCTCATCTTCGAAATCGGAATCGCAGTGTACGCAGGTAAAATAGCTTCTGGTCATGTTTGCGCACTTTAGATGGACCTCACGTTTGCAAATGTTGCATGCGACAGAATTGTCTACTGTCTTCTTGGGCATTTTTTCCAAGCAAATGATGCAGAAATCATCATCTTCAGAAGAAGAAGAAGGAGATGGTGATTTCTTTTCTTTTCTTCCTCGTTTTGATGTTATCTGCACAGTTTTTGTTGTTGTTGACTTTCTTTTCGATGTTCCTTTTTTTGGCGTAGCTCGTTTTTCTTTCAATGTAGCCAAATTATCAGGGGAAGTGAGCTCCATACTTCTCATAGGCTTGCGTCCACGATTTG